GGGGGGGGGGGAGGCGGTTTCTGTGCTGTCATGTTTGTGAGCATCGCTAAGGAGGCCCTGGAGCCTCTCAGCGACAGTGGAGAGGTGACTGGTTCTCTGTCCCTCTGCCCCGCAGGATTTCCCTGGAAGACCTGAGCCCGAGTGTGGTGCTGCACATGACGGAGAAGCTGGGCTACAAGAACAGCGACGTGATCAACACCGTGCTCTCCAACCGCGCCTGCCACATCCTTGCCGTCTACTTTCTCTTAAACAAGAAGCTCGAGCGCTATTTGTCAGGGGTGAGTGGAGCCCCGCCGTGGTTTTCTCTGCTCTCTGTGCAAAAACCAGCTCTGACACTTGAAGTGTTTCCCAGTTACTGACACTTGATCTGAGCTGTTAATTGAAACTAATGTGAGGCTGAGTTTCCTGAAGGTGGGATACAATAGTAGCAAAACCTGCTTCTCAGGGAGCGCTTTTTATCTGAGGTGTTTTAAAAATATTCTCCCACAGAGTTAAGCTCTGGGCAGACTCGTGAGAGATTCAAGCCTCTGTTCCTTTCAGCTTCTTGTTGCCTTTTTGGCTCTGTTTCTCTTTTCTCCTTGGGGTCCCCACTTAGATGCACTGGGGCTTGTGTAATCATAAAAGATGGGGAGAAAAGCCCCTCAAGCATTCACCTCTAAAGCATGGTAGATGAGAAAGACACTATTTACATTCACTTCTCTAGAAAACAAAAGTGAAACCATGGCCCCTTCACTCAGTCTGGGCATCAGATAGTCCAGGTGTCGCGTGTGTTGAAGATGAAGGAGGTAGAGCTGGGAGCCTGTGTTGGACCATGGTACCCTCATGCTTTGGTCACCTTCATCCTTCTGCCTCATGAAGTTCATACATGCCTGGATGAGGGAATTTACATGCTTCAGTATCTAGTTTTGACTAAATCGACTCTTTCCAAATGGACAATGGTTAAGAAAGAATTCTGCAAAGAAAACTGGATCACAGGCAGTATGGATTCTGCATATCACTCCTTCTGTTTCTCCTACTCAGAATGGTGAGGACTAACCAGATCTAACAGGAAGTCAGCCAGAGAAACCTGAAATTGTCAGGAAGCCCATCTGAAATTTGATTTCATACCCATTCCTGAAGGATGACCTTCACCTTGCCTGTATGGCGCCTTGAGATCAGGTTGTATGGGGTCATCACTGTTAGGAAGACATTTAGAATCCAGAGCGTAAAGAGGAACTTCTAGAGTTTTTCGGTGCTATTTAAAGGCATGTGATAGCCCGATATCCCACAGCATTCCACTAAACAATAGGCTTACAAACCTTTTATGAGGTTTCTACATTAAAGCTAAAGGTGAAAATTCACCAATAGTTGGGGAAATGATATTCTTCCTGATGAGGGAGAAAATGACCAAAATGATGCCCAGAAGACAGCATGATCAGAACGTGTCTCTCATTAGCAAATGGATTTGGGAGACATCTAGAAAACATTGCCGAATAGATGGAGAAGCTTGACGGGAGATTTGTTAAACAATGGAACAAAAGTATAGATGTTTCTAAGCTGATTCAGCTTAGGGTATTTCCTAGAGTTGGCTTCAACAGGAAATTATCCACAGAACAACTTTTTTTTTTTTGGTGAGCCACCAAAGGAATGATGTTCATGAGAAGAAACGTTACAGTAAAAGGCATTTAAAAATAAGAGCAATGTTTTATGGGGGAAAAAAACGTGCTCCAGAAGCAGTGATGGGACGAAACTTCAGAAGGGAACAGATATGCAGCTGGATTTCAGGGCCAGTGTCATGGTCATGGGAAAGCTACTGCAGCAGAGAAGTGGAGTTCAGAAAGACTGGACCTTTGATACACAGTATGTTATTTATATCATTTTATTATGTGATAGGAGGGATTAAGAAATTCTCTCACACCAGAGGACAGAGGTCCTCTGTTCCCCTATGATGATGAGCTTAAAAGACATGTTAGACTTGAAGCCATTTCTCATTTCTCTTTTATAAGAAGACCATATGTCCTATATTTCTTTCTTATCCTTTTAAATTCCTATTTTATTGCTTATTTTATAATGTACATGTTATGTTAGTACAGTACATGCTTATAATTTATAAATAAATGCGCACATATTGTAGATGCCTGCTAACAACTTTTTTCACTCATATGGGCTCAAGGTCACACCATTTAGGAACCACCATGATAGGGACAAGTAGTTCTCAAGTAAAAGGAACAGAGGAGGGTCACACGCTGATTTTCTTTTTGAAATGATGAATGTTGTTCAAAAATTAGTTTTAAAAAATGTTTCCATGAAACTGACTATAAAGTTTATGATTTCACATATTTAAAGGATGACATTGCTGCTTTCCTGAGTAAGCTAGCAGATTCAAACATTCTTCTTTTGGAAGAACCAGTTTTCTGGATACTGATCAATAAGATACAGGGGCTTTTGTTTTTAAAGTAGTTTCTTTCCTTATTTAAATTATATTTTTTATTTTTGTCTGTGTTGGGTCTTCGTTGCTATGCACGGGCTTTCTCTAGTTGCAGCGAGCGGGGGCTACTCTTTGTTGCGGTGTGAGGGCTTCTCTTATTGCGGAACACGGGCTCTAGGCATGCGGGCTTCAGAAGTTGTGGCACGCAGGCTCAGTAGTTGTGACTCGTAGGCTCTAGAGCACAGGCTCAGTAGTTGTGGTGCATGGGCTTAGTTGCTCCGTGGCACATGGGATCTTCCCGGACCAGGGCTCAAACCTGCATCCCCTGCATTGACAGGCAGATTCCTAACCACTGCACCACCAGGGAAGCCCTAGTTTCTTTCTTATGTCTACCTCCACATCTACAGATGCAAACTTTGATTACTCACACTCTTAATCACACGGCTCATTCCAAGTAAGAGACATTTGTGTGAAGCTCTTAGGGTATGTCTTGCCTTCTCTGGATGTCTTGCCACCTGCTGTGTTTGCCCAGCATCAGGGTTACAAGTGGTGCAGTGTTGCAAAGCTCTGTGGTTTTGTTTACTGAGAAGTTCCCTGGAAACTCAACTAGCTTAGTTCTAACTGGAGAACGTTCTTTCTTATTTTATTGTCTGTTTCACACTTAAACCTTAAATCATAGGACATAGCTGGTGTGAGAACCACTGTCTAGGTGGGTGGCTGCTTTTAAGAATGAATTATTCCCCACAGACAGCCATAGCTGGTCCACTCAGCAATTTCCACACAAGGCTAATTTAATTGCACCTATGCACTGTGCCAGTTATGAATATCATTAACCAATTACTAACAACCGTGTATGATTTTGAAAGCAAAACTAGTAAACTAAAAAGTAAAATATTGTATTGGGTGATTGGGATTGACATGTATACACTGATGTGTATAAAATTGATGACTAATAACCTGCAAAAAAAAAAAAAGTAAAATATTGTAACTTAATTATTTGTCATTTCTCCCCTTATCCCTTGATTCTTGTTTCCTCTTTCTAAAACCTAGAAGCGTGGATTTTAATTTGGAGAGCCTGTAAAGGCATTCTGTGAATATTTGTTGGCTGAAAAATTAATCAGTCATTTAATTTCACCTGTCGCCAGAGAGGATTGCGCCTAAACAGTGCCCCTAGATCATCTTAGGTGTGGTTATCTGTCTTCTTCTTTAAGCTATATTATATTGCTGTGA